TGGGTCAAGTGTCCATCCTTTAGTCACATAGCTGTGGCAGTGGGTGATAGGTTGAGGAGGGATGACTGAACACATTCAGAGAACTACCCTTATGTTGGTAGGGTAGGAGGTATAGGCTGAAAAGAGCCCTCAAATATGTCTGTACTAGCATGTGTCAGATTTCATTAAGCACTGTAATAAAAATAACACAAATACAAAATATAAATGCAAATATAAAAATAAAAAATACATAGCATCAAAAATATAAATACAAAATGCAAATAATATATATGTTAAAGATACAGGGAACTGAAATCAGCTTATCATCTAAAAGCTAACTTCCTGAACTGGATATGTAGATTCCATAATGGTTTTAGAAGAGTGTATTTAAAAGAATCATCTGCATGAATGTTTTTGAGAAGAATATTCAATAGTCATTTATTTGAGTACTTCTGTATTTGTATTATCAATTCAGCCTTTCCTATAGTAGGTATAATTAGGTACATAATTGGACATGTTTACCACGTTATTTGCAGTACATTATTTAAAGATTTACCTTATAGAATTTCAGATTCTATTTTCCGATTTAATTCACAGATTTCAACAAGTAAGAAGTATTTGTCATTTTATCATGCATTTTCAATTGTTGGTGACTGCTTTTAAAATTTCTCTATTAGCCTTGCCTCAGTTTTATAATTTTCAGTTTTCTGTGAAGTTTTAGAAAAGTCTGAACAGTCAAAATGATCTATAGGAAACATACTGGAGAGAGGGTTTAATGGAAGCTGATGAGTTTTAGTGCATTTGGTTCAGTTAAAATTTTTCCAACTTAGTTTCAACATAAAGTAATTCTAGTGATGATCAAAGTGATGACCTAGATCAAAATGTTGAAGATGTAGGAGATACAGAATACACTTCAATGTGGTTTGTTATGAATTGTGTTATCCTGGGGTCATGTTTTAAAACAGAAGCCTGTATTAATTTTTAAATGATAATTTCAGGGAAAATACAATTCTATGCATTTACTCAGTTTTGACCCAACATTTTTGGGAGCTAGATAATTCTTTTACATTAAGTGAACTATAGATAATCTTCCTGAGCTTTTTTTTTTTTTTTT